CGGCGGGTTCGGTGGGGGCGCCCAGCCCCTGTCCACAGGGGAGGTCCCAGCTCCCTACTGGGAACTCCACAGACAGGGGCTGCTGCTGGAGCAGCCTCCCCTATCCCTCCCCACTGTGTCTGATAGAGGCAGTGGGGGGAGGAAGAGGCAGCACTGTGGAGATGGTGCTAGGGAGAACCGGCTTTTAAGCCAGCTCCACCCAGCACCAGCTCCTGTCCCCCCTGCTTGCAGGAGGGGGAAAGCGAGTAGTCGAGTATTCCACTTGACTACCCAATAAGCTTATGCTAACATCTCCACCCAGAGGCTTCGCTGTCCTCAAGGGCTTCCCTTCCATCCTCCTGCATAGCAGAATCCTTGTGACCCCAACAGGACTGGGCCCAAGATTGATGGGGGCTTGACCTCTAACCTTGTGGTCAATTAGGGCAGGGGCTGGGATGTCCGTACTCCGGGGTGCTCTCCTCACATTGAACGCTTCCCTGACCCACTGATGACTACATGTAGTTCAAAGCAAATACAAGTTATTAAACAACAGTCAGTTTTTTAAAAAGAGCAAGAATGAGAAAAAATGGAAAAAGTTCCTGGCAAACACCTCACTTTGACACAAAGACATCACAGTGTCTCTGGGAGGTCAGGACAGTTCAGTCTGTTCCTTGTAGGTCCCAGGCCTCCATCCCAGGCCCTGGCTGTGCTGCAGGGATGCTGCAGGTCACACAGTTGCTCTGGGTGGCAGGACCCTTCTCCCCAGCATCAGCCCCTCTCGAGTCTGGCCTGCCAGGCCTCTTGTCTTGTGGAGTCCCCGTGCTGGGCCTCTACCCAGGGTCCCTCCTGCTCTCCCCTGCTGCTCGCTACACCCAGCTCCAGCGTGCTCCTGCCCCAGCTCCACTCTCTGTTGTGCTGCCTCCAGCACCTGGAATGCTTCTCTGGACCCTCTCGATCTGTGGCTGCAGCCCCGCTCCCAGTATGGATCTGGTGCCTGTGCTCTGTCTCAGGATCAGGGACTGAAGCTCTCCCAGCATGGATCTGCCTCTGGGCTGAGTCACTGGCTCAGCTCCTCCCAGCTCATGTTGTCTCCTTAGCTCAGTCCCATTCAGTCTGACCCAGCCAAAATCCAGGAGGACAGAGGACAGAACTCTTCCCCAGATTCCTCACTCCCTCATTGGGCTGCGATCCTGTCAACCAGGCTGACCTGGAACGGCAGCCTCTTCCCATAGTTCCTGAAGGTTGTCAGTTTCAGGATCCTGATTTCTCTAAAGACGCTTCCCTTTTCTTTTGATGCTGTGAGCCAACCAACCAAACCCCCACTGAGTTTAAAATAAGGGACCAACAGTTCCCTTATACTAATGTAAAACTGTCCCTTGCCCCTCCTGACCAAGCTCACCTCCAAGATGTATAGGAGACTATCTGTGTTTGGGGACTCTGCTAGCAGGTTCCCCAGCATGTCATGCCTGAAGTTGGACAAGGGCCTTGTGCAGAGCCTACAAAAGAAGGGACAGCCATGGGTCACAGTTGGGAAACTGGGAAAGCTTCTCCTCCCTGTCAATAGCTCCCTGTTCAACCAAGCAGCATTGAGACTCTGAGAAGTGGTAGGATGAGAGGTATCAGCAGATGTCCCAAAGGTCAGCCCAGGTCACCACCAGTGGGGATCAGTCTCAGAGCAATTCCAGTCCCACCTCTTTGTGAAGGCCTCTGACAAAGCCATAAAGAGTGGGGGTAGGGGAAGCAGTATCTGAGGTTGCCCGTGCCTTGTACCTCTGTCCTGCCTGGCTGATGTCAGAGTCTCTCTGTGAGGTCACCACTGTCCTCCAATACGTTGAGATCCTGCATCAGGCCTTTGTGATGTCACTGTCACACCTACAACTGCACTGGAAGACTGATGTCCTGCTTCTAGCCAGCCCCTTAAGACACATTGACTGATGAGAATAAAATGCTCTCAAATGAGCTACAGACCAACAGTTGCTCATAGTCATCATTCAGCAAGTATTTGATAAGAAATAGTACATTAGAGAGGATCAGGAACTGCGCAGAGACAATAATTGCAGAGAAGCAGCAAAATCAATCAAATACATGATTGCTTGTGACTTATTGGTCTTATCTTAAAAATAGAACAAAAGGACCTGAGTCTCCCTTGTCGATAGCCACCTGCTCAGCCAATGAATATCAAGAAGCTGAGAGCTGGGAGGCAGGAGGGGGTCTCAGTAGAAGTCCAAAAGGATGGCTCAGGTCACCACCAGAGGGGATCAGTCTCTGAGCACTTTTCCAGTCCTACTTCTTTGTGAGGGCCTCCTACAGAAAACAGCAAACTCTTCTGACACACATACCCCCCTCCTTGGTGGAGATAGGGAGTACTGGAAAAGAGGGGAAAGGAAGCAAGAAGAGAAAGAGTGGGAGAATGGGGAAGAGGGAAACCTAAAAGGAGAACCTCCTCCCCCCCAATGCCTCTGGTGATTCTACAGAACAAAGTCCTTCATAGGAAATCAAATGACCTTAAGCTAGTGATTTCTATGCCTAGAATTCAGCTGGTACCAGACCTCTTTGAGGCTCTTACCTTCTAAACAGGGACTACAAAATCAGTAGTAGAGAAGGAAAAAAACTCTGACAAAGTTCTTCCTCATGCACTTGTACATTAATCCTAATTCTCTCTCAGTCCAGAGACCTTGAGAAAGAGCCTTGCTGCTGTAAAGCCACAAGCATCTCTGAGGTTGCTCCTGCCTTGCACCTCTGTCCCACCTTATTGATGTCAGGGTCTCTATGAGGTCACAACCTCCTCACCAATAGGCTGAGGTTGTGCAATAGGCCTTTGTGATGTCATTGCCACACCTACTTTTCTCTTGTAAGGCTGGTGTCCTGCCCTGTCCAGCCTCTTTGGATGTTGGACTGGCTTCCCCCGAATCATCCCACCTAAGGAAGTTAGACGAGGGGGTTCTCTGCGACTGTGGGGCCTATTTCCGCTCTTCTCTCATGCTCTGGGCGGCGTCCACTGGCTCCATCGACAGCTTTGAGGAGCAGTGGGTGCTGTCCGGGGTTCTCTGCTCGGTGTCCCCATCCGGCTCCCTTATTTTGAACCTCTAGCCCGCACTTCTTGATTCTTTAGTCATTATTTGTCCCAAGCAATCAGTTGGACATGGGTCCAGTGTCCCTCCCATAAGGCTGGGGAGGGGCTTTTAGAAGGTGGGCGGGCGAAGCCCACGATTTGAAATCCCATGATTTCAAATAGGCGAATCATCCCACCTAATGTCAGCACAGATCCTGGAGCAACAGAACTTGGGCTCAGAAACTTTCTCTCTGCTCAGCCGATCTCTTTCAGGGATTTTCCATCAGCTCAGCATTACAGGAAAATTTGTTTGTGTCCACAGCAATGCCCTGTTGTGGCTCTTAAATCTCCCTCTCATGCAGCTGTTTTGTACCCTCCACCTTCTTTGGAACCCCACGGATCCCACACAGAAAATCCCCCATCCAAGCCATTGTTCTAAAAGGCTTAGTTCCCAGTGCCACATGGTGAGGCTTTTGGACCAGCAGGCTCTGAAATCAGACATCATTATCTTGCAAGCAGGCAGGTGATGGCAGGTGGAAACAAACGGCAGAAGGAAAGAGGACGTAGTGCTGTTGCTTTTCATTTGGAAATGCAGGTTCAAAGTCAACTTGGCCGTATGGTCTGCTGGGGAAAGGTCCCTTTCCTGTTCTGTCAGGGGGAAAACTACTCACAAGGCCTAGACAGCACTGTACTGTGCCACAACCTTGTGGCACTGGGCTGTGCTCTGGTCATTTCCCACAAGCTGAGCAGGGCTGGTGCCTGGAGGAGGGAAAACTGAGGTGCTGATGATTCTAATGGCCTGGCTGTCTTTGAGCTAGCACATTGAGGCAATGTATCAGAAGGGTGGTAGGATGCAGGGGGCTATTGGAGGTGCCTTCTCACCTGCTTGCTTTGTATTACTCCAGCCATGGACAGCAGCCCATGAATGGCTCTGCACCCATCTGGGGTCTGAGATAGTTCAGTTATAGTAGGAGGCTAAGACAAGAAGCCCATGGCTATAGGACCCTGAATTATTAGGCAAAGGCTTATAGATGGGAACAGCAGACAGCTGGAGCACGTCAGCCTGCAAGAGGCCCAGGTGGGACCTATAAGAGGGGAAAATGAAGCCAGAGAGGAAGCTGTTTGCTGAGAGTGTTGGGGGCTGAGGGAAATTGCTGTGGGGGAACAAGTTGGGCTCTGCTTGGACACTAGGGAGAGGAGATGTGCAAGGCAGCCTGATCTGACCATGACAAGGTGCTGGTTAGTTTGGAAGGAGCTGGGTTCTGTCACAGGCTATGGCTGAAGGAGCAATTTTTGCTTTATAGCACTGGCTATGTTTGTTGGTTCCTTTTTGGCTGAAAGATGCACCAAAAACCCAGTTCCATCAGCCAGCCAGACTAGGTCTGTTGCTGCTTTGTGCTGGCAGGGTCTGCTGCTAAATCTATCCCAAACATTTATAATGAGTTTGCTGCCTCTCACTAACACACCAAGCTGGTGGTGTTTAAAATGCTCTGTTTCCCATTGGTGTTGGTCGCTTGCTCTTTGCATTTATCCTATCCTGGAGGGTGAGTGGATGAGTCAGTTTCATTTGTTCTTGGTCAGTTTCATGTCTTGGGGTTCATAGACTAGCCAAATGCAGCAGTGTTGACAGCTGCAGGTGAGGCTCAGGTGTTTGAAGCAGTCTTATGAAATATGTTATTTTAATGTGCTGGAAATAGCTGAGTGGGTGGGTGCAAGGCAGGCTGTCAGAGACCTGAGTTTTCTTCCTGAACTGGCTTGCTAAGTGGCTTGCCTCATTTGGCCCAGCTATAAAATGAGAAGAATGACCCTACTTTCTTTTGTACAGCCCTTTGAGAGCTGCTGATGGCCAGAGCTGTGTAAGAGCCAAGTATTATTAAATGTGGTCTTACAGGACTGGGTGGTGTCCCTTGTGAGGCTGATTGCATACAGAGCCTGAGCTTGTGATGGTAAATAAACACAGGTAAGTTCTAGGTGGTAGGGGAGCCAACAGCCATGCCAGACCCCTGGGTGGAGTGGGAGTGGCTCTGTGCTCCCAGAATGGGCAGGGCCAGCGGGCATCCAGCCTTCAGCACTACTTGGAGCACACCACACTGCTCCCTGCCCCAAGTCCAGAGAGCTGCTCAGAGCACACTGTGATTCTCCTTCAGCTATTTAAAGGGTCTGGGACTCCAGGCACGGCTGCTGTCACTAGCAACAGTGGCAGCTGAGAGCCCCAGGCCTTTTAGGATTGCTGGGCCCCAAGGCAATTGCCCCCCTTTGCCTTTTCCATCAGCAGGCCTGCTAGGTGCAGCCCTTCTTCCAGGCCCTCTGCCTTTCTCACAAGAAGGCAGGGTCACAAATAAGCAGAGTGTGGAGCACAAATGGGTGTGTCTGACGTGGTCAGGATTTTAGCATGTGCCTCTTGGTGCTAATGAGCATTTAGTTCCACACTAGACAGGTGCGATCTGGTGGCTGTGCAGCAGCTTTCTAGTGAAATCAGGATTGGTTTCCTCTGCTCTCCCTATTGCATTCAGCACTTTTGATCTTCGTGTATTGCACCTGGAATCTGTCTGCCTTATCAAGGGTCTAGCTCTGAGTTATGGGATTGGGGCTTATGGTCCCCCTGGCTAGTGCAATGCGCAGAGGTGAAAGTAAGCGGGTGTTCTCTGGTGCACAGATCCAGCAAGAGCTGGTTGAGCTGTGGCAAATGCCAGCAGGGAGCTATTTAAGGAGCTGGCAGGAACCCAGTTTGCAATAGGACAGTACAAGTAAGAAATTTTAAGTTCTTCAAGTGCTTGCTTATGTCCATTCAACATAGGTTTGTGTGCTTGCCACATGCACCGGTGCTGGAAGTTTTTTCCTAAGCAGTATCCGTAGGGGCTGGGGTTGCTACTGTGGTGCACGCACACAGCACTATATAGGGTACCCCCGACCCCTCACTCACTACTTTCTTACCACCAGTGATGGTGCTTGGAACAGCATGCTCCAGCCTTAGCTATAGCAAGTACTCCCTTTGCATTGATGACAGATTTAAACAAACTGCTATGGCCTATGTTGGACTTGCGGGGTTTCAACAAATATTTGGTCCACCTTAAGTTCTGTATGGTCTCCCTGACCACTATCATTCCCGACCCGGATCCCGGGGACTGGTATGCCACCCTCAACTTCAAGGATGTGTATTTCCACGTTGCCTTAGTCAAAGGTCACACAAACTTCCTGAGATTCGTAGTTGGAAAGAACCACTACCAATTTGCCATCCTGCCATTTGGCCTATCTCAGTTTCTGAGCACTTTTCCAGTCCCACTTCCTTGGCTTTTCACCAAGTACAGGTCAGTGGTTGTGGCATACCTGAGGTGTCAAGGTGTACAGGTGCATCCTTACCTGGATGAGTGGCTTGTCACGTGCCCATCGAAGCAGAAAGTCCAGCATGACATGCATCCTGGATATATGCTGCTGGCTTGGCCTACTGATAAATGAGAAAAAGTCCTTCTTGGTACCAACTGAAAGGATAGAGTTCATAGAAGCGGTTCTGGACTTGACCAGGGCCAGAGCATCACTCCCTCAAGAGAAATTTAAGGCCCTGTCAGCCCTCATTCAGCAACTCGTAGACACCCCCATGACCACAGCACAAGTGTGTCTGCAGATCCTGGAGCACATGGCCACTTGAATGTATGTGGAGCCCCTGGCCAGGCTCAGAATGAGGCCCTTCCAGTTGTGGTTGGCCTCAGTGTAGAGTGGTAATGGTCCCACCCCCAAGTTCGGTCAGCTGTGGTGTGGTGGATGAGACTATACCAAGTCATGTTGGGCATCCCATACCATCCTCAACCATACTCGAGAGAACTAGTAGCCAGTGCTTTGGACTGTGGTTGGGGGCCCACATAGGGACCTTTCACACTCAGGTCATGTGGTCTGCACAAGAGAGATCGCTCCACATAAACATAAAAAAACTTAGTGATCTTGCAGGAGTTTTGTGAGCAAGACACAATAAGTCATTCTTCTACTCTACTCTGTACTAATTAGGCCTCAATTGGAGTAGCATGTCCAGTTCTGGGCACCACATTTCAAGAAAGATGTGGAGAAATTGGAGAAGGGCCAGAGAAGAGCAACAAACATGATTAAAGGTCTAGTAAACATGATCTGTGAGGGAAGACTGAAAGAATTAGGCTTGTTTAGTTTAGAAAAGAGAAGACTGAGAGAGGACATGATAGTGATTAGAAGCAATGGGCTTACACTGCAGCTAGGGAGGTTTAGGTTGGACATTAGGAAAAACTTACTAACTGTCAGGGTGGTTAAACACTGGAATAAATAGCTTAGGGAGGTTGTGGAATCTCTATCACTGGAGATATTTAAGAGCAGGTTAGATGTCTATCAGGGATGATCTAGATTGTGCTTGGTCCTGCCATGAGGGCAGGGGACTGGACTTGATGACCTCTCAAGATTCCTTCCAGTTCTAGTATTCTATGATTCTTTTATCAGGAATGCGTGCAAGGTGGTTCTCCCTCACTTCACAAGCAGAGTGCTGTGCATCCTGACAGACCACCACCATCATGTACTCTATAAACAGACAAGGAAAGGCTCTCTCCCCAGAGCTCTTCAAGGAAGCTATCAGAGTCTGGAAGTTTTGCATCTTGTATGGCAATCATGCTAGAAGCCTGTCACCTCCCAGAGGTTCAGAATGCCATCGCAGATGGTCTCAGCAA